TTCAGTTTACTATAATGCTTTGTTTAAGAGAGATGATTTTTTTAAAGTTAGAAAAGAACAATGGAATTTTTCATGTGGCTATATTTTATTCACTTCAATTGACGCAGTATTCAACATAGAATTATTACAGTGTAGAGTGTACTCTGAATTATTAGAGTCACATAACTTAGCACTCCAATCATGGAGTCCATACATCATCCTAACTTTCGCAGCCCCCTGAACCAATTTCGATTCGATTCGCCATGTACGTACGAACTTTGCCTTACAAGCTCAAGGTGGTTCGTGTTGGATATAAAAAGTTAGCCGTCAAGACTTCAGAAGGCCTTTTCCTCTGTGGCAAACTTTTTATCCGAGCAACGAGACGAGCCTGTAAATCGGAGATCCTAAATTCCAACTGCGAGAAATTCCCTCCTCTCCATTTCTCATTATTTTTCTCTCTCTCTCTCAGTATTTTTTTCTCCCTCTTCTCTCTCTCTTTCAGTATTTTTCTCTTTTCCTCGCTAATTTTCTCTCTCGCGGTATTTTTTTCTCACCGATTTTCTCTCTCTTTCAGTATTTTTCTCTTTTCTCTCTAATTTTCTGTCTCTCAGTATTTTTTTCTCACCAATTTTCTCTCTCTTTCAGTATTTTTCTCTTTTCTCTTTCTCTCTCCCTCCCTCTCAGTATTTTTTTCTCACTTGTCTCTCCTTTCCTCGGTATTTTTCTCTTTCTCTTCTCTCACTTTCTCTCCCTTTTTTATCAGACGAAAATCGTCCAGCGGCGGATCGATCGCGGACACACCTCCACCGAATTTTATTCGGCCATTTCCCCGACCGTAATTCGCCGGGAATGAAACACACCGGACCGTGATATACATCGCTTTATTGTTCCGAGAATGTGCCGCAGCCAGCCAGATTACTGGCTGAAAATTTGTTTAGAGGTTGTCGGAGATAAGGATACCGCGATATAAATATAAATTCTCTTAGAATGTTCAACCAGCCTTTTACCCCTACCAATGACACACACGCAAAAAGAAAAGAAACAAATATCCTATACACATCTACACTCTTCCACCTATACAATAAAAAGCTTGAAAATAATAGAAATCTAATCCTATAATTCACACATAATTGCACAAAAGTCAACGTGTATATACCAGTCAATTTTTTTTTCCAAAGAATCATAGCGTTTCGAAACTTTCGTATGGTGTTTTAGGTCGAACGAACGGCTGGGCTATAACACGCACGTCTATAGTAGGATTTTCGTCGTTAAAGGGGGAGAATAAGTGGCTCGTTTTGGCAATAAGAAAATCGGTAATATCGCGATCAAGAGTCCTGGGATGGATTTCTTACGATCGAATAAATCTACTTGACTCTGTTCGAGCCAACCACTCCATTCCACTCTTCGTCTCTCCTCTGTTGTTCATACAAAAGAAGAAGGAGGGAGGGAGAAAGAAGAGAAACGTAGAGGAATATCGTAGCCAATGGAAGAAATTATCGAGACTCGTGGATACGTCGTGTATTTTCGTATCCATAGCCAGTGGGAATAATTTAAACCGTCTGCTCGATCAAACTTTCGCCCCTTGGGGCGAGTTAGAGTCTCTCCTCCTTCGTGCCTTCAACTTCCATTGTTTCTCATCCTTTTGGCTAACGTTAGTATCGCGAATTTTCCTTCTTTATATTGCCCAATTTATGGATTATTAATTTTCTCGGTATAGACAGTGAAAAGTGAGATTTTTCATGCTTCGAAATTTCATCAATTTTTCCTTGATTTACGTAGAGTCTCTCCCTTAAATTTCTATCGTTTCCCATCACTTTGGCCAACGTTAGTCTCACGAATTTTCCTCCTTTATATTGCCCAATTTATGGATTATTAATTTTCTCGGTATAGACAGTGATAAGTGAGATTTTTCATGCTTCGAAATTTCATCAATTTTTCCTTGATTTACGTAGAGTCTCTCCCTTAAATTTCTATCGTTTCCCATCACTTTGGCCAACGTTAGTCTCATGAATTTTCCTTCTTTATATTGCCCAATTTATGGATTATTAATTTTCTCGGTATAGACAGTGAAAAGTAGATTTTTCATGCTTCGAAATTTCATCAATTTTTCCTTGATTTACGTAGAGTCTCTCCCTTAACTTTCTATCGTTTCCCATCACTTTGGCCAACGTTAGTCTCATGAATTTTCCTTCTTTATATTGCCCAATTTATGGATTATTAATTTTCTCGGTATAGACAGTGAAAAGTGAGATTTTCATGCTTCGAAATTTGATCAATTTTTCCTTGATTTACGTAGAGTCTCTCCCTCCAATTTCTATCGTTTCCCATCACTTTGGCCAACGTTAGTCTCACGAATTTTCCTCCTTTATATTGTCGAATTCATGGATAACTAATTTTCTCGGCACACTCGGTGAAAAATGAAATTTTCATCCGTTGAAATTTGGTCAATTTTTCCTTCACCTTCGTAGAGTCTCTCCCTACAATTTCGATGGTTCCTCGCCCCTTTGGCCAACGTTAGACTCGCGAATTTTCCTCCTTGATATCGTCTAATTTATAATTAATCAACATTCTCGGTATAGTCAGTGAAAAATTAAATTTCCATCCCTCAAAATTTCATCAATATTTCCTCAACTCTCACTTGGGACTTAACATTTAAAAAATAACAAAATTCCACTCAGTTTAGTTGTTCAAAATTAGTACATACACCCAGCTTCCGAATTATTCCACAATTAAGCAATTTTTTAATTCGCTCCAATTTTTTAAATATTCAAATTTTTCTTAGCGTTCGATATTCGAATTACTCTGAAATCAAGCAATTTTTCTCTTTTCCTATTCCCCTCAAGTCAACTCAACTCTGCGCTCATAATACTTGGACAGCGAACGTGTTAAGGCGGAGCGTAAGTGGCGCAAAAAAAGGGGGTAGATCGGTTTCCGGCGGAGAGACGCCGAGGAATCGTAGAGGCGTGGCCCATATCTTATCACTGGAGTAACATTCAACGAAGGGTATCGACCGGTGAAAAAGACAGGTTCCCGGTGTCAGGACCGGGACCATCTCCAACCAGCTCGCGTTTGCAGAAAAGTTCTCGCCGAATCGTAAATAGGGTGGTGCCTGCTGAGTCCACGCGATATTGTAATCTGTCGCAGCAAGAAATTTCTCTATGAACTACAACATATTGCTCGACAGATTTTACAGATTGGTTTAATATCTTCTCCACCGTCGATCCGTTGCTCTCGAATCACTTTTCACGCGGTGAAACAGTTCAAGATCTACGTATTTCTTTTATTCTTTCGATATTCGTCATATTCTTCACAGATTCGTTTGATACCTTTTCTTTAGATACGATCAGTGCTTTCGAATAATTTTTCCATCGGTGAAACGATCGAGGATCTCTTTAGACTTTATTTTCTCATTTGGTAGAAGAATCTTCTTCTTTTAAATCATATTTCAGACCGTTCTTCACATTACGACAGAGCTTATTTATTTAAGTCTAGAAATTGCTTTATCTTCCTACCTTATAGTGATTCACTTTGAACGCTGATTTGAAAGGTACCCAAAATATGAATACAAAACGATGCTTCGTGATATTCGATTTATTAAATTATAGAAGAATTTTAAAAATGAATCCCCAATAAACAACGACGTTCTCATGATACAGTTAACCCAACTACGGTCCTCGGGTCTTTCTTGACCCGTCGCCCTTTCATTTTTTAAATAGCTTTTGCGGTTATCAAATTTACGTTCCCTTAACGCCATATTGAAAGTGTATTATCGGGCCTCTTTTGACCGAAAGATCTTAAGAATAGTCCTAACAAAACTAAAATAATCAGATTCAACAATTGAAAATTAGAAAAATCAAAATTCTCTCCTACTTAACGCCACATTAAAAGTGCCTTACCTACGTTCACACTGTGCCTCTTTTGACCCAAAGATCTCAAGAACAATCCTGACAAACCAATTACAATTCTCCCTGTATCACACGCTTCCCAAAAAAATCTCCAATTGCCTCTACGCAAAACTGCTCGAAGCCGCTTCATTCGAACTCCCCAGTTTTCTCCACCACGCGATACACTTCGTTTCCCTCGAAAGAAGCGCTATCTATTCCCGGCCGCGGTACGTTCTAATCGATAAACATAAAAAATATACGTAAAAAAAATCGATTTAATCTCCGCTGTTATGGCAGCGAAAGAGAGAGGGAGAGAGGATATAACGTCGGTCGTTAGACGCCTGGCGAATTATTCTCGACGATGGCTGACCACCGGTGAGTGTTTAACATCGTCTAAATTTACCCCGAGTGCCTTGTATTTTTCACCGTTTCTTTCTCACCGACTAGCCAGAGAGCTCGAAACTTTATTACAGAGGTTCTACCGTTCGACTCGCTTCTACCCCTTCAAGTCTCGTGATAATTCGATACGACAGGACTCGCGGAACGCGCGGAGAGAGACGAAGAAGAAGCATACATATGGCAGAACAGCATGGCACGAATATTATTCATACCATAGGCGGCATACAGTCCACCGGCTATTTATAAACCGGCATACGGATATTTACGTATTTCCTGGCAACTTTGCGCTGAGAAACTTCGACCCCTTTTCACCTGAAATCGCGTGCGTCTGAAAATTTACCATACAGTGACCCGTTCGATCCGTTACGACCCGGGTTTAATTGCCACCTCGCAGCTGAATAACGACGTGCTCGGGAGTTTTCTCTGGAAGAAAGTTGATTTTTCTGGAGAAACGTGAATTGGTGGAGGGGGGAAAGAATCGAACGAGCGTATATGTATAGTCTGTCGAAGCGATAGGAAAATTGGAAATTTTTCGTATTTCACGTTTTTGTTCATTTTTTATTTCGGAATTTTAGTGTTTCGTTAATTTTCAACTCTTCTGGTGATAATTACAATTGTCGTCTTCTTTATCGTCCAATTTTAGTGGTATTCTGATAAGAAAATTGTCAACTTGAAGCAAATATGATTAAGAGATGGATTTGGTCGGATATTGAAATCGTTCACCGGGAAGATCAAATATTTTAACCCTTTCACTGATGTTGACGCCTGTATAGGTGCTGTGAAAAATTTCTCGTACCGTGTTATCGGTGATTTTCAACGCGCTTTCGTCTTAATTCATGCCTCGATTCTTCTTTTTTCCATACTTCCACCTTCATTTGTGAATTGAACCCTTTCGTTACCGTAGGCGTTTTGACAATGTGCTGACACTTTGCGGTGCACTTCCACCTTAATTTAATCAACGACCAAAGTAACAAATTTTGCAAATTTTGCGACCGATCGTCGGTCACCCGCGTTACGCATTAAAATTTTCCGCAGCGAAAGGGTTAAGTGGGAAAATGTTTGGAATATTGAATATTCCCGAAAGATGTGTCGTCTTATGCTAAAGAAACGATCAATTGTCGAAGTGCTTTTACTTTCTGCAAATGACACGAGGCTCGTTTATTTCCAGCAGAGCGCTTAATTGCCGATTGAAAGTTTTAAACCGCGGCGCCAGAGATTCTGTGTCTATCGAGCAAGTTGATACTTTAAATAACTTGGAGGGAGCCTAAACGGTCTGAAATTTTTATCAAGCTCAACGTTGATATATTACTGCGCCACTGCACGTGTTATCGATACCTGCTGCTCTCCGCCTCGCCAATTTCTCGCCATGGATTAATTTTATTATTTCGCCGAATTATCATCCTTCCGGTGGAAATTATTTCCAAAATTTTACCCAAACTGGCTCTTTAAATAGAGATTATTTAGAATTTTTCCCAAACTGGCTCTTTAAATAGAGATTGTTTCGAATTTTTTTCCAAATTATTTCTTTAAATAGAGATTATTTATGTAAGGGCTTTTAATCTTAACACTTTACCGACCGGTAGCCTATTAATCTGCTTTTTTGCCGCCGACGCTTACCGACCGATAGCCTATTAATCGGTCAAAGTTTGATTTAACATTTCTACAATGTATAAGAACAAGCGCATATATTCCCGCGCGATAGCCTAGAGTCTAAGCAGAACCGGTGTCAGCGATGTATCTGTGGCCGAGTGAGCGGTCGGAAGTGCGTAGGATGTTCAACCGCTACCGGTCGGTAACAACATTTCGTCGTCGTCGTCCTTATCAACTACGCGGTTCAATCTCGTTCTCTTACAATTCTTACGATTCTCACAATTCTCCCTGCAGTGCTCTTAACGCGTCCTTATATGCGGGCGCCCCTCTCTTGCCTTCAGGAAACCCTGGCGCAAGTTGGGGGTTTCTACTCGGCAAGGACCGCGTCGCGCGAGCACGTGGCTGGGTCCTTACCTGACCCCAGCCCTTAACTCGTGGGAGAGTCAGGCGTTGGGACCGGGTTTCTCCGCAGACCGAGAGGTCTGCGGGTCATAAACCAGCCCGAGTCCCTACCTTCACTCAACCATACTCACACATTTAGAATTTTTTCCCAAATTGGCTCTTTGATTAGAAATTATTTAGAATTTTTCCCAAACTGGTTCTTTAACCTTTTGACTGCAGCGCACTCTCGGGGAGAACCATCAATACAGATGGCGCGATATTCGCATATCAGTCGCTGCGACTGGTTGATTTGATACCATTCTTGAGGTTACAATTACCGATATTCAGTTGCTATGTTACATAGAACGATAAATTCCCTGTTGAAACAATTGGTAAAACAGTAAAGGTGTTACAGTAAGAAAAATGTAGAGGGCGTATATTTACGCGTTTCGTATATATTGATAGACTTGTGAGGGCGTATGTATACGCCTTTCGTAGTCAAGGGGTTAAATAGATATTATTTCCACGTTCTCCTCGCCGAATTCTATCCTTTAAATAGAAATATATGACGAGAGAAAAATATGTATTCTGACGTTTCTCGTTCGACTTGATGCGGAGGATTTAGGTTTTGGAAATATTCGAGA